AGGAACAAGATAAGAGGAAGGTAAGACAGTTTAATGAGAAATGGAAATTAGGGCGAGATTGGCTAGTTCATTGCAAAGAAAAAAACACCATGCACTGTTCAGTTGTACTGAATCTGTTATTTTTCAATTTCATGTCGTAAGAGGCTTGAATTTAATTTCAATAAACAGAATATACTGTTCATGTTTGCATGTTTTTATATTGTGAGCTATCTTAACAGTACTGGATACTTGACTACTACTATAGTGATACATTGTATGCTGTCATAAGTAAATCTAGATCTAACAAACATTAACGTATCATGGTGAAGAAAAAACTGCGATTTTCTGGTAACAAAATTGTGGCTAGTAAAAATGCTGAATGGCTAGTGACTCCGGAAATCCAGTAGCCACACTGGCCAGTGAGCAAAAAAGTTAATGTCATGCCCTGTTCACCACAAATGCTTCAGGTACACTGGCTGACCGTGATGTCTGATCTTCACTTGCATTTTGCTTTGGACAAAAATGTATTTCTGTAATATTCTTGTCAGACGTGGAAAGTTCAGGTCCAGAAAGTAGAAATCCAGACCAAGATTTTGTTTCAACCAACCAGTTGAACATAAAGAGTCACTGTCACAGAGTACTCACAGTTGGGTACTCTGTGACTGTGACTCTTTATGTTCAACTGGTTGGCTGAAACAAAATCTTGGTCTGGATTTCTACTTTCTGGACCTGAATTTTCCACCTCTGGTTCTTGTCTCAGGACATGTGTGTAAAACTTTAAACCAGAACTCAACAAAGACTAAGGATAGTTTGAGTATTTTCATCCAGGACTCTGAGCACTTGTAGACAGAGGTGGATTAACATGGCAGAATATGAATCACAATGATGAGGGAAACAAAGTTCTCTTTGTTTGAGAAGAGCACTGTCTAAGAACCACTTTATTTATCACAAAAGGTAAATAATTCTCCATCCCAACAAAGAGTTCAGTATCAGGGTGATGCGACATCATGACGACCATCACTCTTAGAATTTCCCTCAACAAGGTGTCAAGAAACATTTCAGATTCAAGTGTTAATAGAAACCTGAAGTTTGACTTGGCTCACAGAACGATGGTCGGAAATAGCTGACTATAATTGTTGGTCGGGAGCCCAGAGCCCCAGCTTGACCCCAGACCACAAGCATACAGGCGCTCTAAAGGATCCATTTCATTGTTTTGATGAAGGATACTGTGAGTGAAAGAAGCCGGGGACCCCCATGTATATTGACGGCTGGCATCAGACTTGTTTGGTCTTACTTTGTCTTCTTGACGTTCACTCTGTCAGATGACTGTTTTTCTCTTTTCTCCATTTCTTGGTTTTCCTTCACCTTCTGTTTGTCCTCCTTTATCTCCCTGTACTTCCACTTGGGTGGCTCTAGGTAGCCCCTGGTCTTCCTCCTCATCTTCTCCTTCCTGGGCGTGGCCTCTCCTGCTCTGATCACCTTGATTTGGGGGATGCAGCCAGCCGGGAAGACACTGTTGTGGGTGCCGGAGCCCCATGAGATGAAGCGTTGCACCCTGCTGGAGGCCGCGGAGAACGTGCTGGTCCTGCAGGGTGTGTCGGGGCAGCAGGAGGCCAGCGAGGTGCAGGCAGAGGAGGTCACAGAGGGAGGGGATGAGGAGATGGAGCCGGTGCTGTGCCTTACAGAACATTCCTCCAGTCTGTTCACCGAGAACTGTTGAGCTAGCTCCGACACGGCTAGGCGCCTCTTGCCCAACTCTGGGGGGCTGCTGGGGCAGAGCGGGCGACAACCCGTGACCACCAATGGGCTGTGGATGCTAGTGGTCATTCGCACCATATGGTCCAGCACACCATTGTCCCGGGGGTCCTGGGGGAACCGGAAGGAGAAGGTGGAATGTAGGCACCTAGAGATCTGCTTCCCCCTGCTCCTGGCCACTGCGGACTTGTTCACCAGGTACTTCAGCTCTGGCCACTCCAGCACATAGGTCTCACAGAACTGCTGGGCCTGGGGCTGCATATGGAGTCGCTGGAGCATCTGGAGGGTCTCAAAGCGTCCCGTCTTCTGGGCCCACTCCCGCGCGCACTTGTGGCGTGTGGTGTCCACCGCATTCAGATCTGCACCTGGGAGATTGGGGGGATGGTTGGAAGAAGGGAAGAAAAACAGGATAAGAGCATTATAGTGAAGGAGAAACTACGGAAGCAACTGCTGTACATAGTGACAGATGCCATCTACTCTCATTTTGCAAGAAAAACAGGAAGTAGGAAAATTACTATGGAGACGGGATGAAAAGGAACCACTGAAGTATAGAACATCTAAATTATATAAGCTATGCAGTGAGAAATGTTATACAAATACCACAGCTGCACACTGTGCAGTGAGGGATGTTATAAAAACACAATGGCTGCACGTGCACAGTGAGGCATGTTATAAAAACACCGTGGCCGCACATTGTGCAGTGAGAAATGTTATACAAATACCACAACTGCACACTGTGCAGTGAGAAATGTTATACAAATACCACAGCTGCATATTGTGCAGTGAGGGATGTTTTAAAAACACCATGGCTGCACACTGCACAGTGAGGGATGTTATAAAAACACCGTGGCTGCACACTGTGCAGTGATACGTGCTGTAGAAACCATCATAGTAAGACACATAAACAAGAGAGGGAATGGTTATGATTATCTATAAGACAGTTGTAAATATATACTGACCATAATAAGCCCAGTGAGTTTACATACTGCTACCCCAAATCTAGGCAAGGCTGTGACAGACAGCTGACAGCGTTTAGAGATAAAATTGTCCAGACTTGTCTCTAAACCTCATCAATCCATGTGTCCTGCTTTTGCCTTTTTTGAACACTCCCTTTCACCTTTTGCATGTTCTGGATTCTCAGTGCTGTCATTTGTGTCTTATTTGTGTATGTGCTGTCATTTAAGTGTACTTTTAATCTTTACGGGTCACCATTGATTGTCACAACTGACAGATTGTCATGTGGTGTCTTATCTTAAAAGCATGACCATGTGACAGCTTCCTTATCTCTTCTGTCTGCTGCAGTGTGCTGTCTGCCAGCTCTGCTGGCTTAGTGTCCCCTCCCTCTACAATGGTGAGCTTGCTGGAGGGTGGAGGGTCCTTGTCACACTTTGTCACTCACCAGCCATGAGCAGTGCGATGACACAGCTGCTGCGTCCCTGCATCGCCGCCTTAATGAGGGCCGTGAAGCCGCGGGCATCCCGGATCTCCATGTCTGCCCCGGGGTAATAATTCAGGATGTAGTTCAGAATGGTCACGTGACCTGAAGGAGTTGGGGCACACAGGTCGTAGTCAGCAGGGGAGCTAGCTGGAGGTTTTGGTTTCCTGTTTCATTAATTGATCTCATACTGTCATGCAAAGTCAGAAAAATGGCTACAGCACAGGTACACAAACATGCTGGTGGCAGTGACTTTCAGGTTTGCATGAAATAGCAATAATGTCCAGGGCAGTCATGGATTGATAAATGTCTATGCAATGTCTTTGATGGTGTTATGAAGGTTTATGTTTGGATTTTCATGGTTACTGCTGTGTGACAGTTATAAAGGTCTGATTCATACCATGATGAACAAAATACACAAATAAGTTTCTTTCCAGAGGAATTACTGCAGTGTTCAGTGTCTTCACTGGCAAGAACGCCTTTCAAATATCCTGGAATGCAAGCTGTAGAGATCCCCAGCAGTTACACATTCACTGTTATAATCAGACCTATTAGTATCAGAGCACCCCAACATTCCCATAACTCCATGGTGGCTGAGAGTTTCACATATTGCACGTCATGTTTACTGTGTCATGAATCTATATAAATATTTTAGTTACAGTTCAACATTAAGATATATGATTTTTTAGACAATTCATGGAGCAATTAATCTGTAGCATAGGCATCTGCCCTGTCTTAAAGGAAAAGGGGTTGTAGAAGATTTGTTTTTTACAAAATGGGAGTTAATCCCACTAATAAACAGAATACAAATGGAAATATTGTGTTGAGCAATGACTCTGATGTCATGCTGACGATTTGCAGAAGTTGTTAATTAATTCTCTGTGGACTTCAGGTAAAGCAGATCATATAACAGTCTCCTGGTGATTTAAAAAATAAAAAGTTATCTCCAGCTGTGGTCCACAAAAATGACCTGTATGACACACACAGGGCTGAGCAAAGGTCAAAGGCCACCAAAGATAATTATGTTAGAATTATCTTGATGTTGGTGTTTGATTTTACTTCTGTCAAAAAGTGTTCAAAAACCTCTCCCAAAGTCACCCTGGTATTTCCAATAACCATCCAATATGCCCATGTCTGGAAGAAACCACTGGAACATGTTCGGCTAATCAGTGCCTCGACAAGTTACTTAATTAAGTTAAGTAATTAACTAAATGAGATAATTATGAAATTTAATGAATAATGGAATTGAGGTGCCCCTGAGGAGAGGTTTGGCAACTGAAGCTCTGTTCTTCTAGCCATCCAACAAGATATCTGTGACTTTTTGGAGAACAGAAGAAAGCTTGTTACTTTTTATTGTGTTACTGGTCATTTGAGCATTTTTTAGATTTCTAGATATACACTAATGGCCCAGATAATAGTTTTATCCATTTTCTTCGACTTCTGCCCATTTCTGTATATATAGCACTTACTGTATACGCTCTACATTATCATTACATCCATTACTGTATACACTCTACATTATCCATTAAATCCATTACTGTATACGCGCTACATTATCATTACAT